CTCTCTCTCTCTCTCTCTGTGTGTATAGTGACACCAGAGGCCAGAAGATGTTGGATCCCCAAGAAATTGAGCTACAAACGGTTGTGACCTGCCATGTGGGTGCTGGCGATTGAACCCAGGTCCTCTGCAAGAGCAACCAGTGTTCTTACTTCTAAGCCACCTATCCAGCCCTCTCAGACAAAATTATACATGGCTTTGTGTGTATAAAAGTAGGTATAGATATTGATGTGCCAGAGAAATGTTAGTGATCCCTCAAAACATACACAGGGGGCAATATGATGCAGCTCACAGCAGGGTCTTTAGTCTATTCGAGCTAGCTCAGGCCCCCACAATGCACCACTGTCACTCAGGATGGCTTTGGTGGTGGGGAAGCCTGGAATCGGGGCAAGGCTTTATAGTAAACAGCAAGCAGGGAATATGTGTACAAGCATCTAATTGGGAAGTTACCATGGCCTTTAACATAATTGGCTGGTGCTGGGGAGTCATATCATAAACTTAACTTCTGTTCTATTCTGCATTGATGGTCATTAGGCAGGGGGTGGGCTTGTAACCTGGGGTGCAGGTCTGTTGGGGAAATAACCTGGAGACACTGTTCTTGTTGAGAGTGTAACCTGGAAACTCTGGTCTTGTTGGGGCTTAGCATAGAGACTGGAGCTAGGCTCAGGTTTTGTTGGGGGGTAACTTGGAAACTAATACTAGGTAGCAGCCTGTTAGTCTACCTGAGTCAAACTTAGGTCAGGTTATCTAAAATGGAGTCTGAAATTAAAAGATTTGGCATCTCAATATCAAACATTTACTGATAATAAGTTATAAAGAAACTTATTTGAACTCAATCCTTTGGCCTACATATAATCCTGACATTTAGTGAAGAGAAACCCAGTTTGCATGGTAATGAATAGAAAGTATTTGTCTGTCTAATCAAAGCCAATTCAAAGAATCACTAATTTGATACTTACATACTGAGGAATGGTGGCAGGAATCTATTAGAAATCTTTGTTGTTGTTGTTTTTTTAATTAAACATTAGTTTCTACAAGAATGGAAAACTTCCTGTAAAAACCACCGCTGCAACTCTTAGCCTTAAGTTTGAGGGAGGGCGTTTTGGGGGGGGGGGTTTAGACACCATTTGTTGACTTTATACAGTGAGGGCATACACAATGTTGAGTGCACCTGATGTATGTTCAGAACCAGAGCTGCTGTTAGTTTGCAAAATGCAGCTCCATCAAGAACGGCAAGACACCTCATATTCTCAGTATGTTTACTTTTGAATTAATCTTTGCTCCTTGTATATTTAGAAACTTTTTACTGTTTGTTGCCAAATTTTTTTATGTACTTTGGTGTATAGTTCAGAATTCCTTTACTATTACCCAGTGTCACTAGAAGTTTCATTTATTTTCCTGAGAATATTAAATGAACAAGGTGCCATTGGTATGTCCTCCACAGCGCATATGTTAGAAGCTTGATCACTCGAGTTTTGCTCTCATGTGTAGATTAATGTCACTGAAAAAGTGCACCTATTACCACAAAATGGGGCTATTGCTGTGATAAAATACCCTCATAAGAGCAGTTTGTGGGAGAAAGGGTGTGTTTTGGATCAGAGTTGCAGGCTCCATTTCTCACTGGGGAGAAGGCACAGGGGCAGAAGCTGGAGGGGTTAGTCATATCACATCTATGATCTGGAGCAGGGAATGATGACTGCATGAATGCCTGTCAGCACTCAGCTTGCCTTTTTCCACTCTTAAAGAATCCAGAACCTCTTACATAGGAAATGATGCCGCCCACAGTGGGCAGATCGTCCCACCTCAATTAATATAGCCAAGATAACCTGTAAGCTTTGATTTTTCAAAACCTACTTTTAGTATGGGTTCTTAAATGCTTTAACCTCCCTTCTAGCCCACCACCCACTAGAAGTAGTGGAAAAGAAAGGTTATTGGGATATGGGGGAAGTGGACCTGTTTAGAAATTGTTCTTTGGAGAAAAATCCCATCTGCATTGTCAGGAAGTCAGCAGTTCATGGGGTTCATCAGTGGCAGCTTGATCCACTCACAAATACTTCACGAATATACCTGTTTAGTAGTGTTGGAATAGCAAACAGAAATCAGCAGCGATGGCATGACCTAGCAGAAACAGCCAGGGCTCAGTAGTATGACCAGGACCATCAGGGATGCCAAGAGAAGTTCTCAGCTGGGCCTCTCTCAATGAAGTGAGGATTAGCAAAGATGTGAGACCAAAGATGTTTTAAAATGCTAGCTATGCAAGCAAACCCCAGCCACTGGCCATTGAGTCCTATTTATACCCCCTCCAAACATCACATGTCCTCCACGGGTCTTGCTTTTACCACACGTCTTGCCTCAGCACATGAGTCTGTCTTAGCAAAACTGCACGTGAGTCTGTATCAGCTGACAGCCACTGTTGCATAATTGTAATTCCTTGCACCTCCCACAGCCTGAGAAAGCTGAGTGGGTAGTTGGGACTTTGATTCCTGGTAAGTGTTCTACCCTTACCTTAGTCTTGATGATTAGTTTTAATTGTCAGATTGTGACAATGTAGAGTTTCTTGGGAAGAGAAACTCAAGGAACCATTGCCCAGA